CTTCAAAATCCACTAAAAATTCCTTCAAAATCCACTAAAAATTCCTTCAAAATTCCAGTAAAAATTCCTTTAAAATCCTCTAAAAATTCCTTAAAAACTCACTAAAAATCCGTTAAAAATCCACTAAAAATTCCTTAAAAATACAATAAAAGTTCCTTAAAAATCCACTAAACATCTCTTAAAAATCCACTAAAAATCCATCAAAAATCCACTAAAAATCCCTTAAAAATCCGTTAAAAATTACTTAAAAACTCAGTAAAAATCCCTCAAAAATCCACTAAAAATCCCTTTAAAATCCACTAAAAATCCCTCAAAAATCCACTGAAAATCCCTTAAAAATCCCCTAAAAAACCCTTTAAAATCCCATTCCCGGCCTCTGGAATCCCCCCCGAGGCACCTCCTTGAACTTCTCCGTGAGTTGTTGGATGATCTGGGAATTCTGCAGCTCCCGGAACATCTCAGGGGTCACCACACCTGTGGAAGGTTCCCAATCCATGTTTTCCAGCTGTTTTCCCTCCATCCCAAACCCAGAATCCTTAATTTTCCTCCATCCCACTCATTTTTTCCCCTCATCCCATTCCCAAATCCTCTTTTTTCCCTCCATCCCACCCCATTTTTCCCCCTTTTCCCCATCCCAACTCCAAAATCCTTGATTTCCCTCCATCCCAACCCTCTTTTCCCTCATCCCAACCCCAAAATCCTTAATTTCCCTCCATCCCAACCCTCTTTCCTTCATCCCACCCCAATTTTCCCCCATCCCAACCACACAATCTTTAATTTTCCTCCATCCCAACCCTCTTTTCCCTCATCCCACACCCCAAATCCTCTTTTTTCCCTCATCCCACCCCATTTTTCCCCCCTTTTCCCTCATCCCACCCCCCAAATCCTCTTTTTTCCCCCCATCCCAACCCTCTTTTCCCTCATCCCACCCCCCAAATCCTCTTTTTCCTCCATCCCAACCCTCTTTTCCCTCACCCCACTCCCAAAATCCCACATTTCCCCCCATCCCACCCCGTTTTTCTCCCCTTCTTCCCCATCCCAATCCCAGAACCCCAATCCTGTTTTCCCCCATTTCCCTCCATCCCAAGCCCATTTTCCCTCATCCCAACCCCTTTTTCCCTCATCCCAGCCCCATTTTCCCTCATCCCAATCCCGTTTTCCCCTATTTTCCCTCATCCCAGTCCCATTTCCCTCCATCCCAACCCTCTTTTCCCTCATCCCACCCCCCAAATCCTCTTTTTTCCCCCATCCCACCCCATTTCCCCCCATCCCAATCCCCTTTTCCCCCACTTCCCTCCCGTTTTCCCTCATCCCACCTCCATAATTCCTCCTTTTCCCTCCATCCTGCCCATTTTCGGGGTCCCCCCGCCCCAAAATCCGGGAATGACCCCCCCAAATTCCCACCTCTGCACCCGCAGGCCCTGACGGTGAAGTTGAGCAGCTCCAACAATCCCGACTCCCGATCCCGTTTGTACAATTCCAGCCACTCGTCCACCAACGTCTGCCGGGAATTCCGGGATCGTTGGGATCCCCCCTCGAATTTTAGGGATCATCCCCCTAATTTTAGGGACCCCCCCTCAATTTTAGGGCACCTCCACCACGGCTTTTCCCGACAAAACCGCCTGGAAAAGGGAATTCTCCTTGGGATCCGCCTCGATCCCACGGGAACGCCGGGAGCGCTTCGGGTTCTGCTGGAAAACCGGGATAAATTGGACCAACAGGTTGTAATTCCTGAAAAATTTGGGATTTAAGGGGGGAAAAATGGGAATTACCGGCCCTGGGTTGGAATTTTGGAGGCGTCCACGTTTTTTCCGGGAAGGCAAAGTGGTCTCGAAGTCGCTGCCAGAGTCGGGATCCGACGGGAATTCCCTGTGGGAATGAGGGTGGGGAAAAAAATGGGAATTGGGGGAGTTTTGGGAAGTTTGGGACCTCCCTAAAAGGACTCCTGACAGGAATTTCCTGTGGGAATAAAGGTGTGGAAAAAAAAGGGGTTCAGGGTGGAAATTTTGGGAATTTTGGGACCCCCCTAAAAACACTCCTGACAGGAATTCCCTGTGGGAATAAAGGTGGGAATAAAAAAAGGGGTCC